GCGAGGCGCTCCTCTCATTGGCCGCCGGGCGCCGCCCTGCGCGCGCTCCGCCTTTATAAAGCAGCCGCGGTGGCCTGGCGTCCGCTCGCCAGGTTCCCCGCGCCCGACCGTCCTTCGCTTTCTCTGCACGCTCGCCCGCCCGCGCCCACCATGGCCACCATTCAGCAGCTGGTAGGAAGATGGTGCTTAGTAGAGAGCAAAGGCTTTGACGAATACATGAAGGAAGTAGGTGAGGTTCCCCAGCATGCGGCGCTGCAACGTGGCACGTGTATGTCTGTCTGTCCCTAGGTCCCCTTCGGCGTGCTGGGTTCAGAGGCTGGCCATGCTTGGCTGCCTATCCCCGACCCCGTTATCCTCTTCCACCTCCGTCACGGGCGAGCGGCGGGGAGAGCGTGGGCCTCTCCGTCTGCCCCGCTCTCTGCTGCTTTCCCCTGGGCGCCACCGCACTTGCTCCCTGCCTTTAGCGCGCTCACCCCCCCTGCCACCCCAAACTTCACTTCTTTCGACTCCTCCAGGCAGCCCTCTTAACTTTCCCTATTTTTCTTCCTCCACCACTCGTCCTCCCTAATCCTGCCCCCGTCCTCCGACTCGCACTCGCTCCGTCGCAGCCGCACCCACTCGCCTTGCCCACCCTGCCGCATCTTTGTTCCTAGATGGCGCGCGGGGTCCCCTCCCTCTTCTTCACGGGGCCGCGGTTTCTAGCAGAAACCCTTTAGAGGGTCTGAACCGGGCTACTGCTTCAGCTTCCATTCCGCTCTCGGCTGCATCCCCCTTACCCGCAGGTCCCCCACCCGCCCTCTCCGGGTGCGCCGGGCCCTTTGGGTTGGCGCGGCTCCCCGGGGAGCAGCGGGGCATCCTCGCCTCCGCGCCCCAGAGCGGCGCTCAGAGGCGTGGCACTGGCGGCGCTGTCCTGTTGGCGGGTGGCCTGTGGGAGGAGCGCAGTGAGGTTGACTGTGCCCGGGGATGGGGAGGGAGTGCGGCGCGACCCTGGCCTCTGCATCTAGAGGGTGGAGGGCAGAGAGGCTTTGTTGGGAAACCGCGGTCAGAAACTGCCGGTCCCTCCTGCGGCTGCTTTCCTACCACGTCCAAGATGGCTGTGGCTTTGCAGAAGGCACTTGACTTATTAAAAGCCTTCCAAGGAAAGATGAGTCTGTAGGAAGATTCAAGTTGTCACCCAAAATAGTGCTGAATTTTCTCTTGTCTTTTTCCTGAGCCGGTGAAAACGATTGCATGCTGGTTGAGACACTGGGTAGATTGGCAGACAAAGATGAACCTTTGTCACAGGCCCCTAGGAAGTGGGATGGTGAAGCATGGGAAAGATCGTATCTGAGACAACTGCTGGGACTGGGGGATGCTTTAGAAGCCGCCCTCCCACAAATGTTAACACGACTGCATTCCGGTGCAGAAGTCGCTACAAAGACCCAGGCCCTGAGGTACTTCAGAAACACACCTTCACTAACCTTTATGTAAGACAGTGGCTGCTTAAGGCCGGTTCTGTGGTGACTCTTGAGTGTCTTTACGAGCCTGTGAGTAAAGCCACCTAACGTACTCAAATCGAAGAAACACATTTGTGCTTGTTCACATGTGTGAGGACCGGGAGAAGGCTGTTTCTCTGCCCATTGAAAGCGAATGTGTTTATCAGATGGCTGGTTTCCGGAGTTCTGGAGTCATGAAGGTTGTCAAGGCTCAATTCATTAGAGAGCAATCAAGGTGTAGGAAAAGCAGAGCCCTTTATTTGCCCAAAGTGAGAATAACTAATGATTCTAACAAAACAAGGCACCAGCCTTGAGCTGGCAAAAGAGAAGTCTTCACGGGGACATTTCAAGCCTGGCTGAGTGTTCATCATCAAGTCGGTTACTCTGTTTAGGTTGTAATCTCCTCATTTGTGAAACCGAGATTTCGCCTAGAACTAAGTTTCCTACTAAATGTTAACATTAAGGGGAAATACACAGATTATAAATTAAATATATCAGTACAGTAATTGAGTTACACAGCTCTGAAATATTTACTCTGTTTGAGGGTAAGATTTTTCCTGTTTACTAGCATTATGATTGTGCAGTTAACTCTTAAAACTTTGTGTAATTTGCGTATCTCAGGATCAATGTTGATTTTGTATGGTCTGCTAATCAAATATTTATCAGGGGCCTTTTATGTGCCAGACTGTGTGCTGGAGTCATAGAATACAATGGTTGGCAGAATTGAGGAAATTGTATAAGTTCAGATATCTTCCCTAACTTTCTGAAAGCCAGCAGAGCGTGGTGGCTGAGCTATTTGGAGGCCCACGGCCTGCCTGCATTGTTGGTTCGCAGCCCCCTCCCCCCCTAGCTGAATGAGCTTGAGTAAATTACATCAGTGCCTCACCTTCTCATCTGTAAAATGGAGGCACAAGGTTGTCATAAGGCTGCCATGAATAATATATGTCAGGTATGAGCACATGGTGAGCACTGGATATGTGTTCACGGTTGTTATTGATAAGTGAATAGGTGAAAATATGCACAGCATAGTGATTACAATTGAATTGCTGCTTTTATTATGTAAACTATAACTTTGGTCCTCCTGTTGTTTAACACCATATAACATTCTACAGGAGTGGGGCTAGCTCTGCGAAAAATGGGTGCAATAGCCAAACCGGACTGTATCATCACTTCCGACGGCAAAAACCTCACCATAAAAACTGAGACCACTTTGAAAACAACACAGTTTTCCTGCCTCCTGGGAGAGAATTTTGAAGAGACTACAGCTGATGGCAGAAAAACTCAGGTCAGTCCTAACTTATAATATCACAGAAGCTTCTAGAGTGATAGATTCTATTAATAACAGTCTTACTGCTTCCAGGCAAGAACTTAATGAAAAAGTCACAAGTTGTCTTATGAATTGAGTTGTGACAAATTAGTGAAAGTACCAGCTTCACAACATAGTCTATTTTGTAAAAATAGTTGAAGGGACACGAGAAAGAGTGCGTATCCCTTATGTGCATCTAGATTGAAAAGCATAAACTGTATTACGAATGAAATCACTATGGGCTAATGAAGTAGACTCGGAAGGGAAAGGATGAAAAGATGTTGGTTAAGGAGGTTATGAGTCACAGAAACTCTCTTTTATTGTGCTTTGGAAGATTAAAAAGTAGACTTTATTTTGGCAGACTGTCTGCAACTTTACAGATGGCGCATTGGTTCAACGTCAGGAATGGGATGGAAAGGAAAGCATAATAACAAGAAAAGTGGAAGACGGAAAATTAGTGGTGGTAAGTGTCTGACATCTTATATCTTATTGGGCTTCTTGCTTGAACTCAGAGTTCACATAGGTGTTCTGTATCACTGATCGTGAGCAGGAGAACTAGGTTTGAAAGAAAAAAACTGCAAAGTAACAAGGTAAATACAAAACACTAATAACAAAGAAAGCCCTTTGTAGAGATAGAGAAGTGAGATGATGTGCTAGAGGATGTAGCAGGAGCTGGGTTTAGTCCATGCTCTGCTGCTACATTTACAGTTCAGGCACACTTCAGAGATATTGCAGGTTGGATTCCAGACCACTGCAATAAACTGAGTATCACAATAAAGTGAGTCATGTGAATTTTTTGGTTTCCCAGTGCATATAAGTTATGTTTATACTATTATGTTAAGTGTGCAATAGCCTTATGTCTGAAAAAACAATATACATACCTCAATTAAAAAAATACTTTAGGGCTTCCCTGGTGGCGCAGTGGTTGAGAGCCCGCCTGCCGATGCAGGGGACACAGGTTCGTGCCCCGGTCCGGGAGGATCCCACATGCCGCGGAGCGGCTGGGCCTGTGAGCCATGGCCACTGAGCCTACGCATCCGGAGCCTGTGCTCCGCAACGGGAGAGGCCACAACAGTGAGAGGCCCGCGTACTGCAAAAAAACAAAAAACAAACAAAAAAACTTTATTGCTAATAACTGCCCCCAAATTACAATAGTAATACCAAAGATCACTAACTACTGATCACCAAAACCAATATAATAATAATGAAAAAGTTTGAAATATTGTGAGAATTACTAACATGTGACACAGAGACAGGAAGTGAGCAAATGATGGAAAAATGGCGCCAATAGACTTGCTCAATGCAGGGTTGCCACAAACCTTCAATTTGTAAAAAAATGTCTATATATTCTTAGGCATACATTTTTCTGCTTCTTTAATATGAGGAATAGTGTTTGCTGAGACTGAATGAATAGTTTAGATATTGCAAATCAGTATTCAGTTTTCAGTTAAGCATATGCACGTCATAAGCAAAATAACAGGTTCTAGCTTTTCAAACCCAGGAATCCTAAAGTGCATTTTCTTCGTCTATGAAATAGATTACAACGTTTTGTAGGATTGTGGTCCTAGCATTTAACTATCACCATTGCTCTGTGATGTAAGACTAACCTGACTCTTCTAATATCACTCTTTCTCCTAGGTATGTGTCATGAACAATGTCACCTGTACTCGGGTCTATGAAAAAGTAGAGTAAAAATATCATCATCATTTTGGATAGGAGGCTGAGAGGATGAACAAGCTCAGTTCAATGAGCAAATCTCCATACTGCTTTTTTTTTTCATTACTGTGTTCAATTATGTTTATCACAAACATTTTACTTTAGCTATTTCAAAGTGTTGGTTTAATTAGGATCATCTCTTTGGTTAGTAAATAAATCTGTTTGTGCTATACCAGTTTTGCATGTTTTTTTTAAGCTTTATAGGAATTTAGTGATGAGTTTTAACATTTATGAATGGAATAAATTCTGGGGTAGCCTTGAGGTTACTATATTGAGATTATATTTTAGTAATTTATATGTAGAGCTACTTCTGTGGCAAATAAACTACCAATCATTAATCTTGCCTTATGCTATTTGAACTTTGTATCAACTCAAGAATCTTAAATTTGTGACAGAGACTATTCTCATTGAAAAATAGCTACATAAATAAACTTTATAATTTAAATATTAGAATAAGGGTTAAATCACCATCATTGACTAATAATCATACTTTTAATAGTGTGCTTATAACCATTACTTAGGAATTCTGAGCCAGAAATTCATTTAATAAACTTTCTGAGGACCTACCATGTGCCAGGCAGTCTTCCAGAGGTTAAGTTATATCTGAACACAAGGACAAATCATTGCACTCACTGTGACAAGAAACACTCAGCTTTGAAAGCACATAGTGTGCTCATTAACCAAAGCCATAAAAGTAGTTGAGCTCTGAATGAAATATTTGTGTGTATATATAAAGAATAACTAGAATTCTAGTGACTCCTGTCCTATTTCTCAAGTCAAATAACAAATATCTGCATTTCACATTTGGAGAAATTCCTATAGGCACTGGGCTAAAACTATGTACATGATCCTCAGAGCAATACTTAGGGGAGCTAGTAACATTATCTCTGTGCTGCAAATAAGAAAATAGGTTTTTGACTACCTAACTTGTTCAAGGACATAGGAAGCAGGAGAGTTGGAGTGGGAACCTACAACTCGTGGAGTCCACTCATGACTGGTCAGTCATTCTACAGCACTGCCTCTTCTCAGTGGTATAAAGATCCTGAGTTTAAAGTACCTAAATGTAATAACAGACTCTTCTGAAACTACTCTCTATGCACTGAAATATTAGCTGGCAAGAATCTTTACTTACTGAAAGCTAGCAGTCAATGAAAGAGTTGCACTCACTGATACCCTAGCTCTGTGTTGTCCAATATATAGCTGTAGCCCCAGGTGGCTGATGAGCACTGGGTAAGTAAAATACACATAAGATTTAAAGAACTTTATACCAAAAAAAAAAAAAAAAAAAGGAAAACACCTCTTATTTTTTTAATATTGATTACATGTTGAAATCATATTTTTGGATACAGTTGGTTACCTAAATATTGTATATTAATCAAATTAATTTTACCTGTTGTCTTTTTTAATTTGGCTAGGGAATATTTAAAAATTACATGTGCTAAAAACAAATTACATGTGCTGGCCTTTTTTTTGGGGGGGTCCATGTTTTTAGTTGGACAGTGCTGTTCTAGACTTCCTTTTCTATTTGAATTTCATCTTGTTTATTTTTGTCTCCATACTAGAGTTCCTCTTTCATCCCCCTTTTCCACTTCTAATAATAGTGTACATTTATATGACTCCCTGAACCAAACACTGGGCCAAGTACTTTTAAGAGTTTTATAATTCTCAGAACCACCCTAAATGATGTGTATTAACAATTGTTTTCTGCATTACTTAGTTGAGGAAACTAAGTCTCAGGGTCTAGGTAATGATACCGAGCCATACAGCTAGTACGAGTCAGAACAGATTGGAGCACAAGTTCATCTGACTAAAACCTGTGCAACCGGCACCATGTTCTAATGTCTGTATTGCTTCAGCTTATGGACAGTGGAGTATTACTAGAGGAAGAGTAGGCCCATGTTTCTTCCATGGGGGGAGTTGTTGACATTTTGGGTGAGAGAACTTTTCTTCATTGTGCTGAGCTGTGGCAAGTCCGTGTCCTAAGATCATTGCCACAAAATGCCCATGGCACCCATCAGTCTACCCCAAACACCCTATACATTTCCAGATGTCTTCTAAGGGTGGTAGCATACCTAGTTGAGAACCGCTGGGTAGAACAAGAACAAATGTAGCTCAACTTCATCTTATCTAGTGTCAATCAAGCCCTTCTTTCTGCTAAGCAATCCTTTAGCATCAGTTCACCCCTCATCAAGAGGTATAAAGTAGCGCCTTCATTGAATATTTTTATTTTCTCTTAACTGGTAGTATGTTGGAATGTATTCTGTTTAGTTCTACAACACACTGCATGCGTTGGGAGTTTCACTCCCTGAGTTTCACCCAGGTCTATCAGATCTCCTGTTTTCTTCTCTGTGCTTCAGCACTTCATGGCCGATAACTTATTGGACATTTCCCTATAGATGTCACGTTTAATTTCAAACTGGTTTAATCTCTCTAAAATTTAGTGTGATGATTTAAGTGTTTGGGCTTTGGAAGCAGACAATACTGGAATCCTATTCTGGCTCTCTACCCTTTTAAGAATTGTGTGACTTAGGGCAGGGTTACTTAACTCCTCTGAACTGTAGTTATACCCTTTGTAAAAGATACAGCATTGCCTGACTCGTAGAGTTGTTTTAAATGTTAAATGAGATAACGTAGGTAAAGCACTTCGCATAGGGCCCAGCACATAGTAAAGGCTTAATGTCTCTCCAGTACTGCCCAACAGAACTTTCTGCAGTGACGGAAATGCAGTGTATCATCTGCGCTATTCAACGCATCGGCACTAGCCCCGTCTAGGTGGGTATGGAAGCACTTTAAATACGGCGAGTGCAACCGAGGAATTGAATTTTAAATTTTATTTAATTTTCATTAATTAAAATGTATATTTAAATACCCACATATGGTCAGTAACTGCTGATTTGGACAGCACAGGATGGTAACCTCATGTTTTCCAAAATCAGGTTTCTTATTTTCATTCCAAACCTACTCCTCTTGTGGTATCGTTCATCTCAATCCATGGGAATTTTATTTTTCTAGTTCTCTAGCTAAATGCTTTGGAGTCATCTTTAATTCCTTTCTTTCTTTCACATGCTATAGCTAATCCACTAGCAAATGATTTCAGCTTTACTTTCAGAAAGTATCTAAAATTCAAGGACTTCCCACCTCTTCCACAGATACCACCGTGATTCAGACTCCACCGTTCTCTCTCCCCTGATCTCCCTGTTTGCATTTTTATTCTTCCAGAGCAAGCATTTTAAAATACACGTTTAAATATATCACTCCTCTGGTGAGAATCCTCCACTGGCTTCTCATTTCATTCAGAGTAGAAGCCAAAGTATTTGCAGAGGTCTTATGTGATCTTGCCGCTTCTCGATTTTTTCTCCTTTCACTCTCTTAGCAAATATTCCCTTCCAGTAGACCATTGTTGACACAGCTGTGCTCCTGCCTCAGGGCCTTTGCACCTATTGTTGCTGCTGCCTGGAACAATCTACCTTCTGAAATCTGCTGCCCAGGCTTTCTCTGCTTTCTCACTTCCTTTAAGTCTCTTCTCAAATGTCACCCTAGCAGTGAGTCATTCCCAGAGTGTATATTTGCTACCACCCCTCCCGCATACTCTGTATTCCCCTATGCTGCCCTTGCCCTTATCACTAGTCCTGACTAACTATATGTTTACTTGGTTTTTCTGTTAAAAAATTTTTTTGTGTGTGGTTATTATCTGTCTCTCTCCCTGGAAAGTAAGCTCCATGAAGAAGGGGCTTTGTTTTTTTTTTTTTTTTTTTTGAGG